AAATTATTAATCTGTGACAACGTTTTACATAATAATAATAATAAATAGTAAAATTATTAATCTGTGACAACTTTATTGCAGCCTTACACTTCAGGGATTGTCCCTGGGGTGCAGGTGGGGGCTTCCTAAAATTCGCCCCATCTTTCAATTTCGATGATTAACATAAATGGTAAGCATTAGTAATTTACAATCACATCTTATTATTGAATTATATGGAGATCATTACCTAGTATCTGATGTTGTTTTCTCTATTTTCAGATATTCCCATCCACAAATAAAAGAATGAATAAAAAGACATAGATCAAAGAACATGAAACCATGACTGGAATACAATAATAACAGCTGGAAATATCTTATGCATGGCAGTGTTAACCCAAATACCTTAACTATGGATATACACTGTATCAGTGTTAATTTTATGGCAACATATGGATGGGACTTTCAGTGGAAATATTGTCAATGTGTAGATACATTTACAGTGCAACATCCTCAATTGTGGACTTTACAGTGGATGTATTCTAATGGCAATGTATGCATAAAAGTACAATTAATTGTGAACTTATCAGTGAGATATTGTAATGGCAATGTATGTTAAATTACAATGCATTGGACTTCACTGTGGACTTACTAGTGAAAATGTTCTCATGGCAATATGTGGATAAAATTACAATTGTGGACGAATAAGTGAAAGTGTTCTAATGGCAATGTATGCATAAAATTACAATGTGTTCAACTTAACTGTGGTTCCTACATGTATCAGTGGAAATATTCTAGTGGCAGCTGGATACAATTTATGGTGCAACAGCCTCAATTGCAGACATTTCACCAGTGATATTCTAATGGCAATGTATGGATAAAAATTACAATGTATGGATGAAGCTCCATCACCTCAGCTATGGACTCAGTGCAAATGTATTAATTATTATGTGACAAACAATGACTGAAACACAGTGCAATAGACCAAACTGTGTAAAATATTTGAAATGGCAATTATGCACTATCAAATCGCAACACAATCACCTACTATTAATACTTGACCAATTCAACCTTCAATTAATTATTTTGCAAGGATACATGTACATGGGTCTTATATCAATATTAACTTTTAACTATCAAGGTCTTGTGCACAGTTAACATATACATGTATTCAGAAACCTATATTATGATATACATTTGTAATATATAGTGAAATATGACAAGACTTCGAAGAAAACTACTTAAAATAACATTAAATGATTTTTAATTTTTGTTTCGTGAGTGTAGTAAGATTATATTTCAATATTTCAATTTTCTTGAAAATCATGTTATTCAATCTTCCATTATTTTATGATTTAACTTACAGTAATGAACTGCACATTAACAAAATCTCCTAATAAAAGACTTCTGTATGTGAATAGTTATATGACAATGTTTATAATCTCCGAGTTATGTTGCCATTGGCAGCTTGATCTGTACTTGTGGTAAAACACTGAACACACCTTCCGGACCAACTTCAGTCTCGAGATATTCTTTACATTTCTTTTCTAGGAATGGCATCATGTACTTCTTGGCGAGGTAGAGTACCATTACGTTACTTCCGGTTAGATTGGCTTCTTCACAATGTGCATAACGAAGCATTTCTCGTAGTCCTTCCTTAGTGCAGTCTGGTATGTCGATAGTTGGTTTATTCTCGGCTAGATGACCGTAAAACATGGCAGCAAAGACAGGACTGGTGCTAGCCAGCACGTACTTGTTGGATGGAATGGTGACTTTGTTTCCATCGCCGTCTGTAACCGANGTGGAAAAAATGATAAAATGATAAAGTCGCTGCATTTTATAACCGTGCCGCAGGCCTTCGATCGGCCTGGACACGGTAATTAAACTATCATTTATTTAATGGAATTATGCTGCATTATACAAGGTCCACTTCTATCTAAACAGATGATGTTCTAAATTAATATCATCTGAAAATTAAGACGGTTATTAGTCTTGCTAGCCAATGGCTAGACCGGCTTTAGTTCTACCTTCTCTTCTATATATGAATCTGGCAACGTCGCGTATAGTTCCTCATGTTGCTTTACCAACTCGACCACAGGGATCCCAAGCTGGTTTACCTTGTAAAGCCGGATGTGAATAGGAACTTACACCAATTTTAATGTATATTATTTTTATTTCTCAACAACCAGTCTTGCAATAAACAACAATATTTTATAAACGACAAATTGGAAAGTAGAAACAGCCAGACACTCTTAGAGCATGAAGTCGGGTATAAACCGGGAGTAACCTTAGGGATTGAAAAATATTCTTTTCGAATTTCACAAGAAGCAAGCAAATGTCCTTTTCCTACAGACAAGCAATTTTTCTTGAATACAGGTGAATGGAATCCCTTGATATTTGCCATCTAAATTCCTTTGTTTTCTATTGTTTTCAATTCACTTCCGGCTTACGTCGTAAGCATCTATACGCGAACAATTGAAAGATTTTTAACACGATAAGATACAATTCGCATCTTCAAGCGAGCATGTAATATTCTGTCCATATTACTTCTAATATATAGTGAAAACAAGAATGCGTTACTTTAAATAGTTTATTAATTAATTAATTAATATGCTGTTCAAAATCCTACTTTTTTATTCACGTGGTTACGGCTAGCCAACTAATAAGATCTTTGACGCTCACACTGGAAAAAATCGCGCTATAAATTTGATTAAAAAACGATGTAAAAACGATGTAAATTTGATGTAAAAATGGTGAAAATTCGATTTACAATGAAATTCACATCGTTTTGACAAACGAATGTAATTTTAATGGAAATATGATGAAAACCAAACGATGTAAATATCGCGTAAATCCAAATTACACGATATTTACATCATTTTGGGCATTTACACGATATTTACAACCTTTGTAATTATAATGGAAATTAAATTTACATCATATTTCCATTATATTTACAACCTTCGAGGAGCGCGAATTTTTCCAATGTCATGCACTTGCAATCCAATATATAACGATCAAATGCTAAAAATACAATATTATGCTAGCTACAATGTATAGCCCGACTTCACGCTACATTAGCTATCTTGGCGATGATACGCCTACGGGTGCCTATTTCAAAAAACGTTGTCGTCACCACGACCTAGTCCACAGTCTTGAGCCTGAAGAGAATGTCGGGGTTTCCATGCGTAATTAATCTATTCAAAATATATTGTGGTTTGAATTCAATGACGAGCAAACACTACTAATATACGAGATACACTATTGCGGGCATCGAACAAGTCTCGCCATGAGACATTTTCCTTGAAAATTATTTCACGTTTTCAACCCGTAAAAACTGATAACTTAGTATAACTACATTCTATTCTTTAAAACAAAAAATGTGAGGAATTAATTCGTGTTTTTTGCGACTATATGTTATCTGCTTCTCAAACCATCTCAGAATACAAAGTATCCCCTTTCCAATCAAAGACGTTGTAGAATAAACGAACGAAACTGACCTTGGATAACATCAGTACCGTTATTAGGGGGAGAAGCAGTAGAGAAAGTTACAACAATATCTCCAGCATCTACACTTTCCTGACCATCGATTCCATAATATGAGACTGGTCCACTAATTCTAGCTTCCAATCTATACACATGACCARAGACTAGACGCACAGGTTTATCAAGGGTTACCGTGAATCCATAGCACAAACCATCTATCTCTTCACTCATGAACGAGGATGATAACTCGGCAAGGCATTCATAATTGTCGGTGATTTTCAATCCTACTTCGTAGTTGGAACCTTCGCAGCCAAATAATCGCACACCAACCAGATTGACATCTTTGTTAACAGTAAGGTTTATAGCATCTGGTAATCCGCCGCTGTAGCCCCATCCAAGAAGATCCATCTTTTTAAATCTACAATTAGTTATCAACGGTTCAAAGAAAGATTCAGGCAAGCGTCTTTTGTTATTAAATACTGTGGTAGCAGCAGTTATACCAATAAAAGTTTGAAGCACCTCTGTTATTTCATCTATATTCAGAATTTTACTTGGAAGTACAATTTCAACAAACTCCCTTTGAGACATAAGCGGAAATCGAATCAATCGAATGAGATCTTCTCCAAGAATGGCTCTTTTTGCTTCACCTTCACAAACCAATTCTCTTTCATCAATCTGCTTGGTGGCCCATTTATCAACAGCTTCGAAAATATGCACTTCAGATGCACTAAAATTGTCTCTTTCGAGCACTTGGCAAAGCAGTTCTTTAGATACATCCAGAAATGATTCASAAGAAATGGCTCGATCAGTTTGGTTGTTAACAATTTTCCACAAATGTTCTTGAAGGTCTTCATCTCCCATTTTCTGTACTTGTGGTAAAACAATGAACACATCTTCTGGACCAACTTCAGTCTCGAGATATTCTTTGCATTTCTTTTCGAGGAATGGCATCATGTACTTCTTGGCGAGGTAGAGTAACTCCATTACGTTACTTCCGGTTAGATTGGCTTCTTCACAATGTGCATAACGAAGCATTTCTCGTAGTCCTTCCTTAGTGCAGTCTGGTATGTCGATAGTTGGTTTATTCTCGGCTAGATGACCGTAAAACATGGCAGCAAAGACAGGACTTGTGGTAGCCAACACGTACTTGTTGGATGGAATGGTGACTTTGTTTCCATCGCCGTCTGCAACCGAGAACTCGACATCACAGAACAATGAATTGTCGAACGCGTACTTACTACGTTCTCTGAGAGTAGAAAATTGTGTTTGCCAGTTTGAAGACTCCATATTTTGATTCTTCAATAGAATAATTGTAGTACGACTAAGGCGACTTAAGAATGAGCGAAGAAATAGCAAAAATAACGCTCTTTACACAGCAAACAATTCGTTTATAACTCTGATCGATTCTTGGAAGCACGGTTTCTGTCAGGCGTTACTCGCTTGCTTATTATTTTGATACAGGAAGCCCAATTCTAAGTGCTTCATTTTCTGGTATCGAACTTTTTATTCACTGCTTTTCTGCTTATCTTGGAAATTCTTCATAAAGTGTACGTCCCGATTCACACGAATTGTACAAAATAATCAAACAAGAAAAATGTGAAGTGTGAACTGCGATGATAAAAAAAACAGGCACGAAACACTTATAAGAAATGAAGACATTTCCATTTCTTTATTAATACGACATTTTCGAATATATAATTATGTCAAAAGTACACTGACTAATTCAAAAAAGCATATATTAATACTGACAAGAAAAAGCGTGACAGTTGTTTTATCAACCGAGGGCAATCCTTGACGGTCAATAATTAATAGTCACAACTGATTGATCGATAATTATGAGAATACTCACAGAGAAAAAAGGCCCTCATCGACAAATGCAAAATCCTCAAATTTGTTGTACATCAGTTCAATAGTGAACGGGTCGTAGTTTTTCAAATTCGCTAAAATTTCCAAAGAAATAAATGGGATCTAGTGAGTGTGTCCGGGAAATTGCCATAAAATACGGATAGAGTAGCGGCTTTGTGTATATTTCTTTTGAAATTCTAGAACATTTAAATGGCTGTAACTCGTTCACTATTGAAATGATTTAAAACAAAATTTTGGAATTTTTCATTTCTATATAAAGTCTTTCTTTCTCTTTATGTCTTATGTGAGGGTCTCAATGGGGTGGTACGCATCACGACTCACGGCTAAAAAATTGGCTATTTCACGACTCACGACTAATATTTTATTATTCTTAAATTTATTATTATTTTCGAATCACGTTTAACTAGGTTACTTTCAGAAAATTTTGAAATGAAAACAACGTTTTTCATTACTTTTTCATGTAATTTGTTTTGTGCTAGAGATAGTGAGTGTGCAACACAGTCTCCCTTGTACGTTATAGACATTCAGTTATAATACTTTTTTATCTCTCAAATGTCAAATTTTGTCAATGTCCTGGCTTGTCTACAGGACCTTGTAATAACTGCCTTGTTGGTAGGTGGCGATCCATTAGAATGTTGAGGGGGTGGTGTGGTGTGGGGGAGTGGAAGATTTTGGGAAAAAATTCCTGCACAGCCCGAAGAAATATCCACTCAAGCTTTTATTTTTTAAATTTACAAAAAATGATTACAAGCGCACGCCTGGAGTTGACTGTCCTTCAGAGGAACAAAACTGAATCACGGCTCACACTATAAAAAAATTGGACCTAGACGATCATTGATCGTACACATGGGCTTCCATAGTTAAAAAAGTTGCTTTTATAAATTAAATAGTTACATTTTCTTGTTCCAGTATTCCTCACATGGGCTCTGAAATTCATTTTATTGATGACATGGTGGACAGTCATGTACATGTAGGAGAACAAGGTCACATGTTTACCACACTCAAGGTAAATACATACTGTAGTGTAAAACCATCTTGGACACGTGCCCATACCTATACTAGGGTAGGAACGTTGGTGCACCTAATATGCCTCAAATAAATCCCTCTCATTTTCTTATATATATCATAACAGACGAAGGGACTTTCCTTGACGGATTTCAAGCCGAGAGGACACTGGGCAAAATCCCCTAATAGGCAATGTGCTTAGACGCCGTTGTGCAGCAAAGCATCATGGTAGATGTAGTTATCGCACTTATTATAAACCCAACAATTTCACCTTAAGAAATATAACATCTATTTAAGCTTAGAAAATGCAAACAAAAATTCAGAGCTGTTTTAGCGGACGCTCCGCATGAACTACGAGGTCTACAACTACCATCATGCTTTGCTGCGAAAAACGGCATCGCTAAACATTGTCTTTTAGATAATGGTGGCAGATTTTCCAACCTACTGGGTGATTTGAGAAAATGCGACTAGCCAATCAGCGCAAAGCTGACAAGCTTATGTTGTAAACATAGCCCCCCGACGGGAGGAATTTSCACARCAAAAYTCGACCSAGTGGAGTAGGCTGCCTGCCATTTTATTCTATCCAAAAAATCAAAGCTAAACGCAAAGAGAAATTAAAAATCTTTATAAAATAGCTTCTAAATGTCAATCAAATATTTATCGTTATAGAAATAGAATTTTATCTTAAAAATATAACAAATAATTTTATTTTTAATACCACGAGACTCCCCTCCCTGATAAAAAAATAATTGGTCCGTGTTCTACGCGGGTTCTCCATTGCATGCGAAGCAATGGCCKACTTCACAAAGACTTCACAGAAGATCGTTGAAGCGACGTTCAAGTCCAAARTATCTTAGGAGGAGCCATTGCAAATCCTTTTTCTTAGCTCTTGTTTCCTCTAAGCTTTACTAGTTTTGGGAATATTTTGTAAACACAGCTCTTAACCAATCACAGACGAGAACACATTCGCGTTCATGGTAACAATCAATCATCACAGGACATGCAATACATTTCTTTTGAATGTCGTAACATATTATTACGTAGAAGTCTCTGCTATTTGTATACGTTTGGTGTTCTATCGATTGAAGTGTATAAGACACGGCAAATTTGATAATGCTTGTTTTGTTTTGATACCGTCGAATTGTTTTGTTTGTTGTTGCTCATCAAGTAAATGTTAAATCAAAACCCTAATCCGACACACATAAAGCTCTTTCTATCAATTGAACAAATAATATACGCTTCGAAAGAGGGCCGATTTAAGCCCACGAGTAGTCCCGAACCGTCACAGAAACGCACGTTCGATTGTTATCAAGGTGATTTGAGTTTTCCCTTTCTTAGCTTCAAGTATAACGAATTCATTCCTTAGTAAAAATCTTCTAGTAGTTTATAACTGTTATAATGACAGCACAACACATGATAAGAGTAGTGTATTTTAATATTTATCAAAGATACTTAGCACACTTAGCACCAATCCCAACGTCTCCATTTTATCGCTGCTTTCCTCCTCAATGTTTATAAAATGCCCCAGCATCGTTGAATTCCTTCACATAAAATATTAAGTCTTGCCGTATTTTCTTCTTTTCTTTCTTGACTTGTGATCATTGTGAMTKTCTATCAAGGAAATACTACAGATACAACATCTTTTATCGAGGAATCTCCGATGCTCCTCCATCGCTCCTTTCGATTAATAGCTTTTACAACTTTGAAGAGGATGCCTCAAAAAGTTCCGTTATGCCTCAACACGAAACCAACTGTAATAGACAGTAAAACCACTCTAAATTGCCTCTAGGTGGGCCAAATTGCCAACTACGGGGGCAAAGATACTTTAAAAATCGCTTTAGTATGTGAAACTAGTCGAAAAATCGCAAAGAAGCAGCATAAAAACTCGAATATTTTGAAAACGTATACNAAGTCAACCGTCAGTCGCCTAGTAACCAAGCCAATCATCAATCGTCTAGTAACCTAGCCAACGGTCAGTCGTCAAGCAACCAAGCCAACCGTCAATCGTCTAGTAACCTAGCCAACGGTCAGTCGTCAAGCAACCAAGTCAACCGTCAGTCGCCTAGTAACCAAGCCAATCATCAATCGTCTAGTAACCTAGCCAACGGTCAGTCGTCAAGCAACCAAGCCAACCGTCAATCGCCTAGCAACCAAGCCATTCGTCAATCGCCTAGCAACCAAGCCAACCGTCACTCACCTAACAACCAAGTCAAGCCTCAGTCGTCAAGCAATCAAGTCAATCGTCAATCACCTGACAAAACCAATCGCCAATTACCTAGCAACCAATTCAACCGTCAAGTCCCTACCAGCCAAGTCATTCATCAACCTTGGAGCAACCAAGCCTATCCTCAGCCTCGGAGCAACCAAGTTCCGCTGCAGCCGTTGATCAGCCAAGTACCACTATGGTTCCCGGACAACTCAGCTCCTCAGTATTCACCTAGTGGCCAGATGTTTCAACGGTATGCAAACAATCAAGCTCCGCAACGTCATTTCAAGACTCCTAATCAATTACAGAAACCCACCGACTTTGTTGCGCACATGCCAAGGTCTCGCCCAAGATACAATACGATACAAGGAGGTAGTGCACGGSTACCTGGAATATGTCCCGTACAAAAGATCAGCATCAAAGACTGCGACGGAGATCAAGTGGAAGTACTGGCAATGATTGACAGCGGTTCCAACATGAGCCTTATTTCGAAGGAAACTGCGGCGAAACTTGGTCTATCAGGTAGAAAGACGCAACTTACCATGAACCTTGCCGGAGGGAGCAAAAGGTGTGAGTCTTCTGAAGAATTGGAAGTATACATAAGTCCTATTACTGATGTTGCTGTTTCAAAACGTTTGAATGTATGCACAGTACAGAAACCTTGCAGTCCCGCAAGAACCATTTCCAAGAAGTTCATTGAGAACTTCGACCACTTGAAAGACATCAGTGATCATCTTTTCCTAAAGGGAGGAGCAGTTGACCTCTTGATCGGTGTGGACTTCCCAGATGCATTTGTTGACTTCCAAACAAAGCAAGGCAAAGCAGGAGACTTAATAGCAAAGCAAAACTGTTTCGGTTGGTATGTACTAGGAATCTCCGACGAGACAGATGAGAGCCACATTAATTCAGTTTATGTCGACAGTGGAAGTACCTTAGATGACATAAGAAAACTGCTTAC